CTTGACAATTATGGTCGAGGCCTCACCCTCCAACATGGAAGAAATCCAGCGGCTAATGGATCGCTTCTGCTTACTATCGGATATGGCAGTAAACTGGGGACAAAAAACGCTTGGCTGGTGGCTTCACCAACACGGGGGCCGCCCACCGAAACTTCCTGAGATTACATGGTTGGACCTGGACGAACTTGTGCAGGTCCTGGGAGTCAAGATGACTGCAAAAGGCTGCCCGACTGAGAATGATAAGTGGCTCGCATCTCCGGCACTCCAAAAGCTCCTCCAGTGGAATCACAAACACACATCACTTTTTGGGAGGGCTCTAGTGATTAATAATGTAGTACTGGCCACCCTATGGTACAAATCGGTCTTGTGGCCCCTTAGCAAACCGGCCCAAAAATCCTTAAAGAGAAAGGTGGCGGCCTACCTATGGAGAGGTGACAGCGAAAACGCAACGACTATCAGTCGGGTGGCCTGGGACTCGGTGATACAACCCAAAGTCCAAGGGGGCCTGGGTATCATGGATCCGATGACCCAAATACAGGCACTATGCCCACAATGGATCCTGCGTTTGATCCTGGTCTTTCCACTCCTTTGGAGACCATTGGCCCTGGAACAAATTGCCCGACTTGCACCGGAAGCCCCACCAACGGTAGATCCTCTATGCTGGTTGGACGACCGCTATTGGAAAGTACCAAGAAGAGCACGGGGGGCAGAAACAATAGAGGGGACAAAGGATGATTTTTGGCCGCGAATAATAAAAATATGGAGAGCTCTACCCCTCCCGCAGCACCCGGCCCCCGAAAGATGGGAGGAAAGAATGAGGCAACCCCTCTTTGGAAATTGTTGGATTACCAACTCTCGAAGCCAAATTTTCTGCAGTTCGGATCCCCCGTGGAAAGGATGGGTAAAAAGGGGGGTAATGAGAGTAGGGGACCTCTGGGATGGGGAACGCAAGGGCTGGAAAGATCCGGACCAAATGAAAGACAAATTGAGATACTGTCGAAACATTGAGGAATTGCTGGGGGAGATTGTAGAGGCACTCCCTCTAGCCTGGCGACCCATCCTGCGTAGAGGTCCAAAAATACAGGAAGGGACTGGGTAACAAAGGAGGGAGAATCTCACCGGGTGGGACAAGTTCACCTTGAGCAGCAGGCAAACGTGTGGGTAGAATGGTACAGGGTGGGGAGAAAGGGAGAACTAATTGGCAGTGGAGCGCCTTTCGAACGGATTGACAAAGCGACCCTTCATAGGATCAGGACCCAGGGGGAAGGGGATGAACGTAGAGCATACAGGCCGGACACTCCAATATCAAAACTCCCCCTGGACCCCGCCGAATGACAATGGCACCCCTCACAAAAGACAAATCAAATCAACAACAGAGAAAACTGTTAACAACTTGTTAGTAAAAGCCACATATAAGATGCTACGTGTTAAAAGGAATGTGCGGGACGTAGTAATCGATAGGTGGCAGCGACACCTCAATGTGGATAGGCAGCTGCTATCCCCAATAAAATGGTTTCAGGACAACAAGTGTAAGCCGGCCAAAATCACGTCCCTTCAATGGCAGATTGCCCACTGCTGTCTTCCCACAAATAATTGGATAATTGACCATACTCAGTTGGAACAACAAGGACGGGCTCATCCCTGGTGTTCTCGCTGCATCCAAACCTTCCCGTCCCAAAGGAGAATTGAAACAGTAGAACATGTCTTCCTGCAGTCCTAACATGGAGATGGTGGGAGAGGGTAGGCAGATGGTTCCGGACCAACCATGGCCATGGGACTGGAGAGCAATCCTCTTGGGCCACCATCCAGGCCTGCAGGACACAAACTATGCAAGGAACATGTTTGCTCTGGCAAGGAGGACGGTGCTATGGGTTCTATGGTGGCAGCGCTGCGCAATGACAATGGAGGGAGTCAGAATTGAAGGGGAGGAAAGGAAGGAACAGTTTAAAAACTGCTTCCAGCTTGAGATTATGCAGAGATGGCGGGAAACGAAACAGGTGCTGGACACACACCACAGGCCCAAAGACATATCAGAAAAGATCTCCAAATTCGCCGATGAATGGCTGGGCGGTCCAAGAGAAGGATGGGTGGCTAGTGTACAGTGTTCGGGCGACAACGACAGTGATGGGCAGACAAGAGAAGAAGACCGGCAGGCATCAGTCCCACGAGATTACCGTCTCACCTTCAAGGACTGGACATCAATAGACCCCACCATCCCCATGCGGGGCCCAGAGTTTTTCCCAGACCCTTTTCCCCCCCATCCCTTGGCAATGGAAGTCAGGCTTTAGAGGCCCGAGACAGCGGACAGTAGAGGCAGGAATTGAGGGGACAGAAAAAGAACGGACCCACTGGTGCCCCCCAATGGTCTCACCTGGCCCCGCCCCCTTGACCCTTATGGAGTAGATAGCCAGACAAGGGTAAGAAGACACTAAGCCCGACTGTCTCTTTAGAAGACAGGGCACTGTGCTATGGGGGAAAAGGTGCAGAGACAGATAGGCAGATACCTCAGACAATTGCTCAGTTTGCCTTTTTTTTCTTTCTTAATTTTTTCTCAGTTTTTCTAACTTTTGTTTTCTCAGTCTTCTGACTCAAAAAAAAAAAAAAAAAAAAAAAAAAAAAAAGAGATCCACTGCTGTGAGTTGATCCCATTATGATGATGTCCTTAGAAAAGGTCCAAACTGGAAATCTCCAGTGCAGGTGTCAATTGTGGCCAAAGAAGGGCAAGCCGCCCAATGCTTCTGAAACCATGACACCCCAGCTCTCAGACTC